GGGGGGGTGGGGTCGGGGGGGTTATTTTTCGGGCAGAAGGGGGCCCCCCCGGTGGGGGCCCCCCCGCCCCCCCCGCCGGTGTTGCTAGGGTAAAAATCTTCCGACGATCGTGCACGCGGCGCGCACACACCTAATGGAATGGATATGAGCAACACATCTCGAAGAACAACAGTTACAACGGTGAGTAACCGTCTTTTTTAAGGGGTTTGTTTTCCTTTTGTCCTGTGATGGTCCCTACTTGAGACAGGCAATTTATTCCATAGGGAAGAGCATTTAGCTAAAAGTTGTCATGCCTGCAAGGCCAACTCAAAAAGGGCCCACAAGGACTAAGACTTTGCTCCAGAACCTGCTCCTCCAAGAGGCACAATTCTAGGAGACCGTCTTCTGGAAGATGTCCTCCGGTATGAGTAGCATGGCAACTAGAGCTGGACAAAATATTTCAGCTTAAATGTTTTACAGCAAAAAATGCAGATTTAGTGATGCTGAAATATTTCAGGTTTTTGTGTCAATTTTGCCGAATTCTTTAAGTAAAAAAAGTCTTAAAAATTCTGAAAAAAATCATTTCAACATTTTTAAAGTGAATGTTTTGCTTTTTGGTTCAAAAAGTACTTTCAAAATTTGCCTTAATTTTATTTTAAAAAATCAAAGCATTTAGAAATGATCAAAATCAAAATGAAACATTTTGTTCAACCTGAAATGAATTGTAGACTTTTTGCTTTGCCAAACATTTTGGAAAATCCATTAATCATACCGTTTTTGTGGTGACAAAGCCAGTTTTGGTGCTGGAGCCTGATGCCCAATCACAGGTTGAAAAGGATTGTCTTCTTGTAAAGGTGTTTGCAGGGACTTTTGAAATTTGTTCCACGGACTCAGGATCCAGATTCTTTGTATGGAGCCAAGGAAAGATCTTACAGTAGTACTATTTCTGAAAGACATCACAATAAGAAGAAAAGGTGCTCCTACTGTTGGATCTGGCCAGATCGCACTGCAATCAGTTTGCTTAAATCTTAGAGATCCTGAGGATATGGCTTTCTTGGATCCTGCCAGGTCAGATCCATCTGGCCAAAGCTCTAGGAACTCAATCCTCCAGGACTCCCCTAGAAAGTGTCCTGCAAGAAGGTGAAGGCACCAATGAGGATCCCTTGGCCCCCTTCACCTGAGTCCTTGGTATCAGTAGTTGTGCCAGATGTAGAGTCAGACTCAGTGTTAGGGGAGGAAATGGTGGGAAACTCTTCAGAAGTTGCCCCTTCTATCTCATCTAGTGTTGCCAGATCTGTTTTATTGCAAGTCTTGTGGTATTTAGTGTTTTATTTAAACCAACAGCTCCTTGAGACAAGTGAGTATATGAGAATATCTGCTTTCATTTAAAAAAGTTTTTAGCCCTTATGGTTTCAGAGAAAGGTTTGTAAATGTACTGTGAGTGCACCCTAATGGTTTAAAAACAAGAAGGCAAATAAAGAGACCCAGCAGAGTTGCAGGCCCTTAATAATTTAAATTACGGTAGCACTTAAAGGCCTGATCAAGGATCATGGCCCCATTATGTTCATACAGTGCATAGGATGTACTAAAGAGAGAGTCCTTGCCATAAAGAGCTATGGCCTACAGATCTTATACTGTACAACATAAAGATATGATTGTATTTAGGAATCACTTCAAATTTCTGGTAAGAACTGTGTTGGACTTTGATCTCAGTCAGTTTATATCACTATTTGTCTTCACCTCACCAGAATGTCTAGAGTTTTGGAAGGAAAAGTTGTACACCCTATATATCGAGAGAGCTACTGCTTAGACAGGACTAAGCAATTTAGAAAGTCAAAGAGATCATTTGTGGCCTTTGTAAAAAGTTAAACCATCTCAGGTCAAAAACTAAGAGGATATGACTATACAGCCAGTCATTATGAATGAGCTGAAGCTCAGGATTCACTCAATTTAGGAGGATGGCAGCTTCAATATCATATATCCACAGTGTGCCCTTACCTGAAGTCTTTATGGCTGCTACAGGAAGTCACAAATCACTCTTTCCTAAAATGGCATCAAGGGCAGAAACAGGCTTTGAGAGGGCAGTGGTTCAAGTCATTGTTTAGCTACCAGGACTTCTCAGCTGTCCTCAGGAAATCAGTGCTAACTAGTCTCCTACAGTGTGGTCCTGGGGAGGTAGTGTTAGAAGGAGAAACCACAATTCTTTGTTCTCAAACATATTCCCTCCATAGAGCAACATGGACCTTTTCTTCTGCTTTGTATAATAGGGCTTCTGGAGGTAGAGGAGAATTGAAGGATGGTTAGAGGGGACCAGATATTTGTGTCCTCTATTTATGACTGTTGGGATCAAGGGAATAGTGTGAACTCTCAAAAGCCAGCTACTATTCTCAGATATTTTTGTAGCTCCCTGGCTAAACACACAACTCCTACAGTTAGACTCGGTGAAAACAATACATTCAGAAATCAATTATTGTTAACACCTTCTTTCACTAAGAAGATGACAGAAAAAGGCGCTGAATCTTCAGTGCCAGGATTCTCCACTTGTCCTTTCCCCTCACACTTTTGATGCTGGGCTTGACACCATCTATTCAATCATACTTCTAATGATTGGCTACCCAGTAACAGCTCTATGATTTTACTACTGGGAAACAAGGCAGACCAGAATGCAAGTTAGCTTTTTCTTTATTAAATCCAGTGAATTGCATACTTCCTAATGATTCAGGCAAGCAATAAGCATTGAGGTCCTGGCTATCTTACAAAGCAATCAGTTGCATTTTCTATCAATCTGTTTATGTCCTGGATCATCTCTTGATGAAAAAGCATCCATCCATGAACTAATCCATTCATGGTGATCATTCAGTCGTATTGTACAGATAATTTTTCATATGGGCAAGAGTGGAAAAAGAATATTTCCTAGATGCTATAGTCACAAACAGAGTAACAAATAATCTTAGAAACATTTTAATATTGATGAAAAATAGAGTTACATTAAATATTTCAGTAATGAAATTTGGTATCTTTTCCTTGCCAGTAATTCCTTCACTGATGATAATCAGAATCCTGATCATTATCAGGTAAATATGGCAATAAGTGGCTAACTTCATGTTCATTATAGTTCAATTTCCTAAATACACAGACAGCAGGTTTATAAAACATGAAGCAATTTTATTGCAAGCTCGAAATATGTCATTTAGCTACATGAAAAAAACAGCCATAGTTGAGAGGAGCAGTGAACATCTAATATTCTGCTAGCTTTGTTGATAGTGACAATATGGGACATTAACCATTTTAGGACATCACATCCCCCCCTTTTTTTTCCTGACAGAAAGTTTGAAAAAGAAAAAAGTTATGGTGACACACTACAAGTTTCCCTTTTCAAAACCAAAAATAAATCCTAGTTGGAACCAACCACATTTTCAATTGAAATATAGCGCTAGCAACCTTAAAAAAATCCATCTCTCAAAACAAAAATACCTTAATTTTCTCTATAAAGATTTGTCAGTGCCTATTAAAAATTGCTAATGTTTTCTATTTTTTTTTTTAAATTTAAGACGAAAAGGAAAAACTAAGGTTTCTCTATGAGAATTATTTCTTTTCAGTCACTAGTGTTACTCATTGGAGATGACTTGGCTAAAACTTCCAGATATATTTTCTTTTGAGTGTTTAATCTTTGATGAACTACTATTCTGATAGGCCTTGATCCTACAAACAGAATCCAGCCAATGAAACTACTCACAGCAGTAAGCATTATTAGTAAAGGCCCAATATTGTAAATACTTAAACACATGCTTAGCTTTGAACATATGAATAATTCCACTGAAGTCAATGGAACAAGTGACATACTGACAATTAAGCATATATGTAAATATTTGCTGGATGGGAGCTTAAGAGTAAGTCATTCTATAAAGGAGATCAAATGAGCCATGTTTCCATTGAGGAATACTTAAAAAGATTCTCTGGATCTCTGCAAATCTCAAGAATGGATCCCTGTTCTCTGGCCTTCTGAGATTTGAACAGAAAGAATAAAGTCCACCACTCCAAACCCTGCTTGTGAAGTAACAGTTAATATTGACATCTCAGTTATTTTCCCGAGACAATTTTCAGAATTAATGCCACATTGGAGCAATAGGGGGAATTCACATTTATTACAACTGTTGTTTCAGGCTATAGGTACACAGAGAAGAACTAAGAATGTGGAGGACACTCTTAAATCTGTTTGAGTGCCTTATACCAGTTTAGCTAAGCCGCTCAAACTAATTTAAGAATATCCACAGAAGGAGATTGCGCCAATTTGTATGAGGTCGAGGCCTCTAGTAAAAATCCCTAACATAGAAGCACTTAAGCTAAACTTAAATCAGTATATGCAAGGGTTAACTCAGTTTCAGTTGGTAATTTACTAATGCAATGGAATGATTGATTTTTATGTCAATTTAGTTAAATCAATGCACTTTTCTAGTATAGACAAGGCCTCAGATAACATTGGTTATGTTCAGTTCACATACAGAAGGTTTCCTTAATAACCATAAAGGCTAGAAACTTTCATTAAAACATTTAGATTCTCATTACACTGACGATAAGGAGGAGGGGGTAAAATTATGATATACACTCTGAGTGGACCTAAAGTTTACCTCAATAGTTTAGATAAATTATTGGCTGATTGTATAAGTCCTCTGTATCTTTTATGGACAGTTATTTGTATTATTAGAGTTAAGATACTCACAGGGATCCTAATCTTAATTTGATAGGCACCTGCCAGTTGCAATGTGATAAATATGGTTAAGTTTACATCTTTATTCATTCCCTCTTAAAATGGAGTCTAAGATTATTGTGTAGTAACTAATAATTCTTTCCTTAAATTTCAGGACTAATTGTACATGAAGGTGCATCAGTTTACAGAGTGTTTAAGCGTTGGAGAGCTGTTAATCTTCACTGGGATGTATTAAATTATGATAAAGCTACAGACATAGAAGAGAGCAATCGAGGAGCATCTTCACCGGGTAGGACATTGTGGTTACCACTAACTGCATTTAGAAACAGAAGTTTAATTCATCCAACACAGTTAACCTCTCCAAGATTTCAGTGTGGATATGTATTGCTGCATCTGTTCAATCGAATGAGACCTCATGAGGATTCATCAGAAGATAACAGTTCTGGAGAGGTTGTGATGAGAGTGACCTCAGTGTAAAGATAATGCTCACTGTGCTACACAAATAAGGATAATGTGCCCTGGACTTTACAGTACTCCGGAATGTAGTTGCAATGAATGGCACTTCTGAAAATATTTACAACTTTTAAAACATTTAATGCTTTTTATATGATCAGTTGAATTGCAAATACATTTTTCTGAAAAAGTTGTTGCTTGCTTTTTTATAGTCTGGTATATTACATAGTTTGGTCAATTTGTACTTGAAATTTATAAAAATATAATTTAACTCTCATTGCCTTGAATAATGAGGAAACCAATCTTTTAAGCCAAAAATATCTGTCATAGCGTTGTGTATTTTTTCAATCAATATAGTTTTTCTAATGCGTAAGTTGAGGAAAATAATGACTGGTATCTCTGTGACTTACTCTAGATATATTTAAGTGCATCATTTAATATATTAGCTTTGTAGAGGTTCAGTCACATTTCAGAAAGATGATATATAGGGGCTTGTAGAAGATGGACTGACCGTTCACGTGCTCCTTTTGTCTCTGGGCAAAGCATAGCAGGCTCTCGTCATCTAGTGCCCTCTGCCACAGCCGGTCCAGTCCTGGAGCAGTCTGTTTCTTCGTGTGATGTAACCCTCTAGCCAGGTGATTTATAGTCCTTCTCTTCTGGGGTAAGAAAGCAAGTCCAACAAAGTAAAGTCCAACACCTCATGCTGAGTTTGTGGCCCAAATCCAAACATACTAGTCCTTTGACACCTGGCTTCCAGGGTCCTAGCACTGTTTTTGGAGGGCCCATAGGGGAATCCAGGCTCTCCCTCTCCTTTGGGTTCTAGCCCAGGAACCCTATAGTGAGCATGCAAGGTGTGTTTATCCAGACCTTCCCATCCCCTGCTCCCCCCCCCCCAGGCTTCTTCCTACCTCAACCTATCAGCGGGCCTTTTCTACAGCCCCTTCCTGGGCCCACTGTGTACCTGTAGTCCTCTCAGGCACTACAATGTCTCAGACATTACTTCAGGGAGTCTTCTCTGAAGTTCTCCAAAAAACCTGAAACCAAAAGTATAAACTTAAACTACTTTCACCTTTCCTTGGCTTGAACTTTAGTCCTTCACCTGTGTGCCCCAATACTCTGCTCCTCAGCTGAACACCAAACACCCCCTGTATCTGCTTCCCTGGAGTCATAGCTCCTGCGGTGGGTCTCAAAATGGAGCTAAATCTCTTCCTGTGGATCTTCCCAGTTCTATCTCTTAACTTCTATCAGACCAAACTCCAGTCTTTTGGGTCTCCTTAATGCGACTGGGAAAAGGCACTAACATATTTGCAATTGCACAGTGGGTTTTTTGAGGCATAAACTATATGTCCTATGAAGTGTCATTAGCACTCAAAGGGAAGCTAATAGATCAGTCTGTTGAAATGCTGTGAATGAAAGTGATGCTTTCATCCTGGGTGCACTCACGTACTATGATCATGGGCAACTTATAAACATCTGCAACTTGTAATTCCTCTTCTTTTTACATATGTAAAAGTCACCAAACAATTTTAGTCATTTGTAATCATTAACTGAACAAGTCATCTAGTCTATCTCCCCCTTCCCCCGCCCTGAAGCCTAGACCATCCCTGACAGATATTTGTCTAACCTGTTCTTAAATACCTCCAAAGACAGGGATTCCATAACCCCAACATATTCAAAATAGTGTCCTACACCCTTTAGTTTTCCCAATTTTGTACATGCCAGTTGAGAGGTATCTAATGGAAAAATCTGAATTTAAAATGTGTAATGTCTCCTAAAGCACATTTTCAATGGTTCTCTCAGAATTTACGAAAAAGTAAACAAAAAATTATAAAGAACTATTTCTTGATGAAATTAAACCTTATATTTGAGTCAAAAGTCAACAAGTTAAGAGAGACGAGCAGGTAACACATTATCCCTTTAGATTTTTTTAAAATTGTATTATGCATATAACTCAATATATTACATTTTCTTTTAAGAATTGACTGACATTGCGAAGTTATGGAATTTCTACAAAAGAGCATAAAAGTCCTTATAGGGAGATGGTTCCTTGGTGCCCTTGCGCAAGCTAAGAAAGGGGACTGAAAAACCCCAGAATAGAAATTAAATGGGAGAGAGAGAAGATTCTGTTGAACATGATATAGTCACTGAAATTTGTATATACTTATTAAGTAAAACAAGTTTGCTATGAAATCACATTTAAAAGGCCAACTTTTGTACAGTGAACTGTATTATGGCTGTTTTCACTGTATCACTGAATAAGATATATCCATCATACAGAGTTTAGTAGAGCTTGAGTCATGAGGTTTTACACCAATGCAATTTATTTGAAACCAATAGCGTTATAGCTGCATAAAATTGGAGAAACACAGTAGTAAATCAGGCCCAATATAATCACAGCTCTGCATTGCACACATGTTTTATTAAAGTTTTATTAAAGCATCTAGTGGTTATATCCCTAGCAAACCCATTCTGTGCTCTATGGATATACAAAGAACAAGTCTCCATTGCCTCATGCTTTATGTAATAATTTTCACCTAGTGGACCCAAGATACAACCACTGATTTCATTAGAATTACATTGGCATAAAACTGGAGTGCCATAGTGGTGAAATAAACCCAATAAGTACAAAATTGGTGTTCAAAGGGAGTGGTAGCATTTGATAGGTGTAAGTGACTACACCTGTACAAGGCAATGGAGAATCAAACCCCATGATCTCCAGCCAATAAAATGGAAACCTTGTATGCTTCAGGATATACATTATATTCTGCATTCTCCTTCCATCTCATTTGAACATCCTCTAGTGATGAAAGGCAAGTTTGGTTTTTAGGATGGGCAAAATGGCCTAGATAAAATAGAAACGTCCTGCTGAAACTTATACCAACCCTTTCAGAGGGTCAAACAAAATCTTTGCAGCCTTAAAAACCAATATTCCATGAGGAAAGCTGTTCTTGTATTTTTGGCCTATATATATATGTATATATATAGGTGATCTTGTGAAAGAGCCCATACTCATGAGATTTGCAGACCCAAGAAGTTTAGTTCTGCTTTCCATACAAGCCTTTCATTTTTCAGGACATACAATATTAAGAGCAAGTGATCTTCTAAATTCTGTTTAAGTTCTGGGCACGTCATTATCAGAAAAAAGGAATAAAAATTATTAGGATGTTGGATGGATTGACTTGCAAGGAAAGATTGAAAGTTCAGGCAGCCGAGGCTAAGAGATGACAAGCTAACCATTTACAAATATTTGAAGGGTGTAAGAGTAAAAGAAGACACCTATCACTGTTATATCTAGCCAGCTCACTAGTCTCTCATTGATAAAGTAAGTTTTTATTAATTTTTATTTAAATTGATTGTCTTTTAGTATTTTTTTTCATATTTCACATGAACTTCATGTTCTTCATTGCTCTAAAGTGTAAGATGTGAGAACTTTTTATTTAGCCTTTTAAAAAAAACCCACAATGTTAATGGATATCATAGTGGTAATGATATGCAAAGCTCCATTCAAGGTCCATTGAAGCCCTGACTGACAGTGCTCTGGAGAGAACAACATATATGCAATAAGCCCTTAGGGAAAACTTTGAGTGGTGCTGAATAAGTCATAATTCCTGTTTGAATTATTAGACTGCAGAAGGACTGAGAGTTCAGTGAAGATGCAGCACCACCAAACTTTTATCTAGAAGCTTCTTAGAAGTCACGATGGGCAGGTTATTACAGGAACTCCTCATTTAAAGTCGTCCCAGTTAACTTGTTTCGATGTTAAGTTGCTGATCAATTAGGGAACATGCTCATTTAAAGTTGTGAAATGCTCCCTTCTAACGTCATTTGGCAGCCCCTTGCAGCTAGCTGGTGGGTGGTTGGAATCAGAGTGGACCAGCAGCCCCCTATCAGCTCCCCACTCCCCTAAGTTCCCTGTGCAGCAGCTGTCCCTCCATGTGCCATGTGCTGCTCCTGCCCCCTGCCTTGGAGCTGCTCCCAGAGACTCCTGCTTGCTGTACGGGGGGAGGGGGGAAGAGAGGGGTTAATGTCAGGGTGTCTCCCCCTCCCCCTGCTCCAGCATCCCGCTTACCCCATCTTCCATAGAGCAGGGGGGACACATGACCAACGGAGGGAGCTTCTAGGCAGCAGCTGCGGGTCTCAGCAAGCTGATTTAATTAACAAGGCAGTGTACTTAAGCCTGGGGTCAGCTACTTAAAGGGGAAATGCATATTTTTTCTCTCACACACAGGGTGTGTGTCTCTGTCTGCCCTCCCTCCTTTCCTGCTGCCTTGTAGAGTGTTGTGAGAGTTAACTCTTGAGGGCTCAGGCAATTGCTAGTTCATTTAGCAGTAAGGTATTCCCTGGGAAATATCCCACCCTCTGACTCCTCCACCTCAACCAAGCTTCACAATCATCATCACTGTGTACCAGTATTAAATTGTTTGTTTAAAACTTATACTGTGTGTGTGTGTATATATATATATATATAGTCTTTTGTCTGGAACCTAATCCCCTCATTTACATTAATTCTTATGGGGAAATTGGATTCGCTTAACATCGTTTCGCTTAAAGTCGCATTTTTCAGGAACTTAACTACAACGTTAAGTGAGGAGTTCCTGTACATAATTAATGGTCTATCCTCTGAATCACCTGATACTGTGCACTTTTGGAAACAGGACACTGGACTAGATGGACCAATAGTCTGATCTCTTACGACAGTTTTGGTGTTCTCAAGTTATTTAGACAACCTATTGATGGGATCTGGTGGAAGATGACAGAGTGCCCTTTGCAATGATCCATATGCTTGTACTCTCGTTCAGTCAGAAAGGAATCAGATTCTGCTAATTTAAAAGCATCAGCTTTGCTACTAGCACTACAGAAAATACTTTGCTACTTTCATCAACAGTTGTTAGTGGTAGGAATTTTTGCAAGAGCTCCTGACACTAGAGGACAAGACCACCACAGATCACTGTATTCTGCCAAGCAGTGTAAAGTACATTAGAAGTCCATTTTAAAATTAAGTTATGTGAAATGTGGATTATAGACTCAAATACCAAAGAGAGGGATAGGGTTGAAAGTAGTCAGGAGTCCATTACAAATATCAAAGTACGGGATTTAAGAGCCTATAAAAAGTGAATTTTCACTTACACAGTCTCAGTAGCAACACATATGAAATAGTCTTCCCTTTATAAAATTCCTCCCTAAGGCCAAGAAGGCACCTGACTGAAATCCTTGGGCTGAAATCTAACCCGTACTGAGTCCTGACCTGGATTAAGCTCCTAAACTGAGTTTTTTCAAAACTAAAGCAAGCTTTAGAGACACTTGGCTCCAGCTCTTATTGGTTTTA